GTGCTTATATAACACAGGCATGTAATAAACACTCTTTTAAGTTTTATATATACTAACTCCTTAAATCTTCTTACTAACCCTAGGTGGTAGTTACTATTATCATCTCCAAAGATAACAAAACTAAGACTCAGAGAGAGCCAGAGTTAGTAGCTGAACTGGGATTGCAAATCTGAAATTTGGGTTCCCTAATCTGTGTTCTTACCTACGAAGATGTGGCACCCTTCAGCAATGTCTATATTCTTTAAGCCTCTGTATTTGGGGTCACTCTGGTACAACAGCTTAGCATGACCTTAGAAATATAGAAATTTGAACCCAGAAATGGGTTTCTAATAAGAACCTTAACTATGCAGTCAGACTAGAACTGAGGAAACAGGTACAACAGGCTGCAAAATTGGAGACCCCTGTAATGTCATCACAAAAATACACAAAAAACACTTTCCTGCAGTAACCTGAAAAGCTGGCCACTTACCCAGAGAGTAACAAGAATGTTGATGTGCTCATTGTTCTTTGATGTTTTTAGTAGGGCACAGTAAGAATATTATGTGCTCATGTAGAAACCAGTGGACACAAAGCAGAAAACCATAGAGAAGGTCTAGAGATTTGGTTCTGTGCCCCAACAGCAAGATGTAGGGTTGCTGTGACTCATAGCTTTTCCCACATGCCTTCCAATTAGGAAAGCTATGGGATCTGATACTGTGGGAGGCTATATTAATGGTGTTGTCTCCTTTTACCCATTATTCAGATAGCTTCAAATGAGAGAGCACTTAAATGGGCTAAATGGCTGACATGGAAACCAGGAAGTAAAGTAGGCTTAAAAATTATGTTCCAAAAAGAAATCTGAGCATTGTTGTTGGCACATGGCATTGAATGAAAACAAACAGATGCAGAAGCCTATCGAATTTCTTAGATACTTAAATTTCCAAAGCAACCAACGCCTGGCCTGAAAACGTCCTCAGATTCTCAAACTATACCTGTAGGAAGGAGGCTACCAAAATTACTCTCTTTCCAAGATCCACTTCAGCTGTGGCCTTAAAGAATAATGTACTATGAAATATTCCCAAAAGGCAAAGTTTGGAATCACAGAGGACATGGGAAAGTATATCACTGCCAAGACAGGGAATCTTCTCAATTCCTCTCTGGTGGAAATATCTCATTGTTATGGAGCTGAATGTATTCCATTCTTCCTTTCTTTTACTAGGAGTGTTTACTATAGTTATTCTGTTCATACTTAACCATTGTAATTGAATGTAGGGGGTCAATGCTTTTATTCTCTAGGCTGCCACATGCAGCCATATATGAACCTAATGCAGAGGTCAAAACATCACCCAGAGATCCTGTGCTTTGAGCTGGATACAGAAATTGGATAGATATTTAGCTTATCTTCCTTGGCAAGAGAGAAGGATGCAGAGGGATATTTAGTGGCTAAAGATTAGACTGTGGCACAGATTAGTAATTGTTCACTAAAATTTATTCTTTCTTTTTCCTGGAACATATGCTTCTCCAGTCATGATACATTGCTCAATTTTCCTTAAAATTAGTTAGGTGCGATCATGTCATTAGTTTCTACCATTAGTAAGGGAAAAGAAGAAATGACTACTGTTTCCAGTCCTGGATCTTAAGTCACTGGGTATTTCTCCTACATAGTCTCTCTCTTCTTTCTCCTTCCAGTTTGATGAAACACAGATATGGTAGAGACTTAGCTTTCACCATGCAGATAACTATAATCCCCTGGGCAATGGTGCAGTGACATGATGAAGACATTTGCAGTTCAAGATCCACTCTGTATGTAAGTCCCCACTGCTCTGCATCCTGGAAGCTTTATGGGCTCCATTAATAGTTCTCCTGTCTTTTGGCTTCTTGTTGGGAGAGTGAAAGGGCAGTAAATCAAGATATTTATTTCCTCTGCTTTCTCTCTGCTGAGTTGTGACAGGGTACCTGCCGCTTACTACCAATGACCACAGGATCTTTTGCTCAACCTATCTCCACTTTATCTATTCTCTTCTGATTCTGGTAGCTGCTTCTATCCCTTGTTCCTTCAAACCTACAGTTAGAAACTGAGTCCTTGGCCTCCCGCCACCCCCATCTCTCCCACTCCATTGCTAGCACTTGGATATATTAGTGTATCTTGTTAGTTTCCTTTAAACCTTCATACTCTTGTGTCAGTAGTTCCCTTAAAGAACTTCCCTCAATAGCCCTGTGCCTTCTCTTTCCTGCAAGATCCCAAGATCCTGAATGGCCCCATCAAGGGAAGCTGTCCCTCAATCACTCCTCTCAGAATTGGAAAATGAAAGACAAATAAACAATTTCTATAAAAGGCATTGTGTTTTTATTCTATGCATGACAGTAGTTTAGTCTTACCCTAGTTAATAGAGTGTTATATCCTTTTTAGAAGTTTGTTCTTTTCATAAAAATTTCAAATTTGTTGGCATAAAGTAGTTCATCAACTCTTCTTTTTATCCCTCTAATGTCTATAGAATCTGCATGTCTTATTTTTCATTTCTGACACTGGATAATTGAGCCATTCTTTTTCTTGATAAGTCTCACCAGATGTGTATTAGTTTTTATTAATCTTTTTAAAGAATGAACTTTTTGGCTTTTGTTGAATCTCTACATTACACATGGTTTCCTGTTTCATTAGGTGACTAATTATTATAACAAATTATAATATAACTCCAGAACTTAGCATTTGAAAACAGTCAGAAACTTTTATCGTGATGCACAGTTTTTGTGAGCAAGGTCAAATGGTAATGTTTTTATAGAACTTAGCGGTGACAGTCATACATCATCATTTCTAGAATATCTTATTGATGACACAGGAGAGCCACATTTGATGTAGGAAGGGAGTATGCAAGGGAATGAGTACCAGGACATAAGGATCATTGGGGGCTATCTTGGCTCTGGCTATCACATTGGTTTTTGCTCTTATCTTCACTATTTTCCTTCTTGAGCTGAACTACCCCTAATCATCACCCTAATATCCCCATCCATGTCTCTGGCAATTTAAATGGAAAGACCAGGGAAGGGATTACAATGAGTCATCAAAATGGAACATTTATTAGAGGGGCCATCGCTCTCCTTCCCACCTGCCAAGTGAGAGAAGAGGCTCAAGATACTCACATAAAGATTAGGAGCATTGGGGAAGGAGAACCCCAGAGCCTTGTGACTTCCGTAGGCCCTCTCTGTGAAAGGACACACTATCCCTCAGCAATCAGATCCCCCAAATATCTGTATGGGTTTTCTCATCCAGCCTTTCCCAACTTGGCCTGGGGCAGGACAGGGTCTATTCACAGGACCCCACCAGCATCTAAATGCCTTTAGTTTTCCCATCTCTGGCTCTCCATGTTACTTCTAGTCTGGTAAATTTTCTGAATCCATTGGGTGTAAGGGTTAGGGACAGAAAATAAGGCTGTTATATATTTTTTGAATCTGTGTACATGTTCTTAGTTATTATTTTCTTCTGTGTCTCTCTGATGATTAGTCTCTTGAAACTCAAAGTCTAAGAACTAACTAGAACATTCTGTTGAGGCATTCTTCCCCTGAAGCAGTGGAAACTACGTTCTTACTGTCTAAATCAGAAAACGTTGCATGCACTACATAGTAGAATTTTACCCTGATACAAAACTTTTCAGCTAAATTTAGATCTAAATGAGCAAAATTCTTTAGGAAATAAAGAAGCCTTCTCAATTCCCCACCCCAGAAGAGGAAAACAAAAAATCAACCAACTACTCCTGAGCGGAAGTCACAAAAAGAGAAGAGGGTGGGGTTCTTGGGTATACTGATTCCCATTAGTGATTTGCTAAAAGTTGTCCTAGTTTTTTGACCAAGAAAGGGGTATCTTGATTCATTCTCATCAAACTAAGGTTGAGTTGGTCCTTAAGAGAGGACTTCAAGCCAGAACCATATTATTTATTTCTGATTCATTAGACTTAAGCCTGTAGGATGTTGCTTAATAGGTGTTTATTGAATTAACCAAAAGAGAAAGGTTAAAGCAGTCGAAGGCCACAGCCTTAAGGCCCCATCTCATGGTTCAGAGGTAAGCTGATTACATTACTTCAGATACAGATATCACTACGAATAAAGACCTATTACAAAAGACCAACAGATCCGCCCTGTTCTGCCCTAAGGTAGCCAGTGATGCCTGTCGCTGTCGGATTTTCCAGAACCTGATTCCCAGAACTAGAGAGACTACAAATTTAAAGAGGGCTTTAGGCAAAACACTGTCAAGTCTTGCTTTTATTCCCAGGCTAGGAACTTGACTGGCAGTTTGTGTCTGGCACAATCAAAGGAAGAGAAGGGGAACTGTAAGTATTTGAGCTTTAGGTTTTCTCCTGATCTGGAGGCTCAGAAGGCCGGTGGTAGGAGGGAGTTTTGCTTCACAGTTAGTTAGGAGTGCTACGTGAACTAGATACCTCACTCACCACAGCTCACACATCTTATTATAGAAAGAATATTGGGAATACTAGACAAGAAAGCACTGAGAGGTATGACTTCTTACTGGACTGTCACTAATCTGACTTGCAATTTTTGTGGCTACTACATAATCACTCTATTTCTTTACTTCTATCCATAAGAAAAGCCAGATACACTTTCGTGGGTATTTGTCATTCATGTTCAATTCCACTGATCATATAATTAGGGCTTTATTTTTACTAAACATGTCAATTGACAACAGAGACAATAAAATGGAGTAACCATTACTAATAGAGTTATTTAAAATGGAGCAGGGAGGACATTGAGGAGGTGGAGCTTATGCACATCTTCTCTATCAAATTCTCAGAATTTTTGCTAAGCTGAGCTAAAAGCAAAGGCATCTACTATGTGTTAAAATGGACATAAATGGGGTGGCTTGGTTCATGGTCTACTCTTGATTTCAGCCCAGGCCATGATGTCACCATTGTGGGTCCTGGGATTGAGCTCCTCTGTGCTGGGTGTGAAGCCTGCTTCAGATTCTCTCTCTCTTTCCCTCTCTCTCACTCCCTCTGCCCCTCTCTCCCTCCCTCGTGTGCATGTGCACACACATGCACTTTCTCTCAAAAATAAAATGAAATCAAATAAAAAGCTAAAGTGGACCTAAATGCACTGGCTAACCCTAGCAACCAATCACACATAGATTAGTGTAACTGTACCCATACCAACACTGAGCACATTTTCTTCAAACAATTTATGTAAGTCTCCTCTTTCCTCTTTAAAAACTCTAACCTCCTTTGTCTCTCTAGAGCAACCTTTCAATTCCAGTGGAATTTGTGTCTCCCATATTGCAATCCCTAAGACCCCAAATAAACACAGTTATTTTATTCTGCAGCCTGCAGTTTTGTTTTTTGTTGGTTGACAAGACTTTCTGGAATGCCTAGAGTCTACAGCAAACAGTATAGAGCTTTGTGAAATACGGTGCCTATGAGAAGTTTCTCACGGTACACAGAAGCCACAGAGCTTGCCTGAAGCACAGAGCCATTATTGGCATACATGGTGCTTATTTTGGGCTTCTCAAACAAAACATCCTGGATGTGAAGCACCTGTCAAGAGAAGAATATTTGTCAGTATACTATATGAGAAAACAGCTGCCAGTGACATGTTCCTTCTCAAATACTCCAGGACTAATACTCCAGAAATCAATACACTAAAATTTGTATGTGATTATTTTTTTCTTATTCTGATGAAAGTATTAATGTTCTAATTATATCTATGCAGTCAAGTGGACTAGTTGGTTATCTGACATTAGCCAAAATCCCAAACAAGGTGGTTTAGTTAATTTTGATAGTTCTCCTTTAGAGGAAGGAGTTGAGATCCAGTGAGTGCTATTATCTAATTCTTTTTTAAACCTTTTTAAATGTTTATTTATTTATTTTTTGAGAGAGAGGCAGAGAAAGTAAGCCAGAGAGGGGCAGAGAGAGAGGGAGAGAGAGAATCCCAAGCGGGCTCTGCCCTGTCCAGGCAGAGCCCGACGCAGAGCTCAAACTCACAAAGTGTGAGATCATGACCTGAGCTGAAACCAAGAGTAGTTCCGTGCTTAACCGACTGAATGACCCAGGTGCCCCACTCTTATCTACTTCTTGAGTGAACAGTCTTCCTCTACGGGAAGGGTCTGGCCTTTGAAAAGGCCTACTGCATGGGGAGGGAAACAAAGGGTGAAATGATGGTCACCCAGTTAGCAAGCCAACCCAACCTCATATTCAGTAGGACAGTAGTTGTCACCGAGGGGGCTCCCCTCACACCTGCAAAGTGTCAGGAAGAAGAAAGAATGCATACTTTGGAATTCAATCTGACATATCCCTGCCTACTACTGTTATTGATCCTCGAGATTAACACACTTTAGGGGCACATGGGTGGCTCAGTCAGTTAAGCGTCCGGCTTCAGCTCAGGTCAGGATCTCACAGTTTATGAGTTCGAGCCTCACGTCAGGCTCTGTACTGACAGCTCAGAGCCTGGACTCTGCTGTGTCTTCCTCTCTCTCTGCCCTGCCCTCCCCTCTCTCAAAAATAAATGAACATTAAAAAAAAATTTTTTTAAAGATTAACACACTTTACTTTGCTAATCAGTAAACATAAAAGTGCTCAATTTTCTAAACAGCCTGGATGAAGAAGTTCACTCAAATAGGACATGATAGGAATTAAGGACAACCAATTAGAAATTCATGAGTCATGAATATATATTGACACTTCTTAGAATAGAGTTTAGTTGAGTTTTGTTTTTTCATCTTAGGGAAGATCCTATACCTTCACTCAGGTTTGGTACATGAAAATACTCAAACTTGGAACTCTTATAGAAAACATTAGTCTCAACTAAAAGTAAAGGGTATCATTGTGAAGAAAGAAGTCTTATCTAAAATAAACAAATGATGAGGTGCCTGGGTGGCTCAGTCGGTGAAGTGTCTGACTTCGGCTCAGGTCATGACCTCGCGGTTCGTGAGTTCGAGATTCTTGAGTTTGAGCCCTGTGTCCAGCTCTGTGCTGACAGCTCAGAGCCAGGAGCCTGCTTAGGATTCTGTGTCTCCCTCTCTCTCAGCCCCCTTCCCCATTCACTCCCTGTCTCTGTCTCTCTCTCAAAAATAAATAACACATAAACATTTTTTTAAATAAACAAATGATAAACTTGAAAATAGAGACATGAGAAAGATCCTAAATAATTTTCAAATTATGCTATGGGTCATATTTTTGTTCTCTTAAAGCAGACATCATTGGGTGTTTGTAGAAAAGCAGTATGTGTTACTTTGGAGGGCACGTGTCTGAGGCAAAGGTAGATTGCTAGCTTGGGGTGAGGCTCTAGGCTCAGACTGAACTTTTGCTTCTCTTAATACTTTTTTGCTGTTTTTGCTTTTGTTTGTTCTAAGAAGCTGTGACTAATATGTTAATAAATTACAGAAACAAAAAATTTTAACTGAAGAGCAACAATATTGGAAGCAGAATTAAGTGTATATTATCAGGGCCAATTAGCAGGCTAGGGTTTGAATCTCAATTTCCCAGCTCCCCAAACCTAGATTCAAACATTAAGTCTTTCTCCAAAGCTTACCTTCTCAATGAGGCCCCTCTGATTTCTATATTTAATAATAGGACTGCCCATCCCCCCCAGTTCACCGCAATTCTGATCCCTTTTACTCTGTTATACATTTTCCTCCGTAGAACTCACCACCTTCAAACTTACTATGTAACTTGCTAATTTCTTATGCTTTTTGTTCATTGGCTCTCCCTCCCCCTAAAGAGTAGAGATCTTTGTATATTTTGTTTTATGATACATTTCAAACATTAGAACAAAATCTGATCCATTATAAATGCTCAATAACTTTTTGCAAATAAATCTCTCAGAGTATGTGTGCCAAGAATTTATCTCTGTATTGAATTTACTAGAGATTTGTTATTCTTAAACTCAATGCTGTAGACAATGCTGCTATTGTTTTTAATGCTATATAAAATTCGATGGTCTATGCTCTTGTTTTAGAAGAGGCTTTAAATACCACAAATAATATCTTTAAAATGAGACATTCTTCAACACTATCGTATATATTACAACTTGCTGCCAAAAACTAATTTTGTTTTGAGACTACAATCATTTAAATCTTTCCATCTGAGTTTCATAGTAGGTAGTGTGAAGGAAGATATCTAGGACTCCATATAGGACTCTCCCTTTGCCTAATTTCAGGCTCTGCTCAGTACCTATATCCTTTTTTTTAAAAAATTCTTTAAATCCAAGTTAGTTAACATATAGTGTAATAAGGGTTTCACGAGTAGAGTTCAGTGATTCATCACTTACATATAACACCCAATGCTCATCCCAACAAGTGCCCCCATCATCTATTTCACTTATCCCCCCATCCAACACACTTCCAACAGCCCTCACTTTGTTCTCTGTATTTTAGAGTCTCTTTTGTTTGCCTCCATCTCTGTTTTTATCTTATTTTTCTTTCCCTTCTCTTATGTTCATCTGTTTTGTTTCTTAAATTCCGCATATGAGTGAAATCATATTATATTTATCAGAGCCTGTGTCCTGATTGGAAATACAATATGCAATCTAGGTCCATGTGAATAATCAAGCTTGTTCTTACCTATTCTTCCTGATGGCAACTATAGCCCTTGCAAGGATGGGAAATGCTTTCTAGCACTGATGTCAAATTGGCACTGGGAGACCTGAAACGGTTAATGGGCCATATCTTCCCATCCTGCCAAAATCTCTGCTCATTCAGTTCTGGAACATCACGTGTGACCCACTAAATTCTCCCAAGTCTCCTCAACAAATTATTCTTGCAACTTTGTCTGTGAGCTCAGAGAAGAATAGGAACTTACTTCTGACCCTGGAGGATCCTCAGAGTTATAGATGAGCAGCTTCATGGCATTAGGATGGCATCCTGCCCAAATAGCTCCTGTGTCAGGATCCACAGTTAAGTTATCCACTAAGGTGCCTAACGGCATTACCTTCCAACAAAGAGGAAATATAAAGACATTGTTTCAGTTTTCTTATCTACCCCTCCTCCCTCCCACCAGCTCCTTCTGGCTCCTGAAATAGATCTTGTGAAGGGCCCTTACTACTAAATTTTCGAAGCCCAAGCACAAATGCACTGATGTTCTTCTAAAATAGTCATGCTTCCTCCATTCAAGGAGCACATTCTTAGATCAGGCACAAGAGCTAAGGTAAGAGGTCATGTTGTATGGGCAAGCCAAGGGTCTTTTTACCTTCACTTGAGTTAAATCCCAGTTATCATGTTTTTTCAGTACATGAATGCTCTGAGCCAATACATCAGCTACATAGATATACCTTTGAAGTAAATAACATTCACATGTAAGCAAGTAATAATGAGAGATGACATTAACTTTTACTTTGGAAAAGAGGTATAAAAATTCACAATAAGTCCTAAGTGCCACTGCAATATCTTCCTAAACCATAGTACAAGAAGATAACAGTCTTCTTTTTAATATTCTTTAAGTGCTTTAAGTAGGCTTCGAATATGATATAATGACTATAAAGTAATGAACTTGGTGTTTCTAGATGACATACAGGCTCAGACTCGTTACTTAGGAGTCACAATTTATTCCTTAAATTGGATAGAGGTAGGTAGACCTAAAAGAGGCCAAAAGAATCTATATCTCCAAAATCTAGTGCTTGAAAAGAAGCATCAGATGACCGTCAAGCTCAATTATAATAATTTTTTTAAAAGAAAGAACACTTAGAATTGTTTTCTACAGGGATTATCTCTATTATCTTGAGTTTACACATTAACATTCATGGGTACTTTAAAGAAAACTTTCCATTTTAAAACACTTTAAAAGAGTTTCTCAGAAAATTTTGTGCTACATAAAACTGTATTTTTCTTATAGAAAAGTCTGCTGTAGTAAGTCAGTAAACCTGAAATTTATGCAATCATAATGCCCAATCGAAGTCAAGTCCCCTCTAAAAAGAACTTTCAGATAACTCGACTTAGTGTAGTGATTAAACACCATTACCCTCATAAAGGGCAGAGATATTTTGCATTTATTCTCCTTTTAAGTTTGTTAGGTAGCTATGTTTCTAGACTCACATGGTAATTTGGAATAAGAACCTTGTATTCTTGAGTCGAGTCTTCGTTTCACAGGGGGAAAGCCTGGCGTGCAAGAGGGCATATGGTGTACTTATGATCACACGTAAGAGTGTGAGCCCTGGCCACACTGGATCCCTCCACACTTATATTGACTACTTAAGCCTCAGGAAATAACCACCACTTAAAGGAAGGAGTCCACTAAAATATCAGGAGCAAAGTGTTGAAAAATTATAAAGCTTACTTTTTGTCTAGTGAGACTGTGATCCCATTGGCAGAACCAAATCCTCTGGCTACCACTTTGACCTCTCTTGGACTGTAGAAAAGAACATAAGTCCAACGAAGATCCATGATCATCTCCAATAGTACCATGAAGAAGTTGGTAAAATAGTGGTCTCTGGTGGCATAGAACTGTTCTGGTCCAAGAACCACAATGTCATTCACTCTAGAGTGAAAAAAAAGAGAGAGGGCAAAAACCCAAGGAGTGGTTAAAGATTTTGATTGTGGTCCAAATCACTAAATCTCAAAGACAATTGTGTTCATCAGTTTGAAAAAGTACACATGAAGTAGTCTGGATTAAAAAATTCCAGGGGCACTGGGGCGGCTCAGTTGGTTGAGCATCCGACTTTGGCTTAGGTCATGATCTCACAGTTTGTGGGTTCAAGCCAGACATCGGGCTCTGCGCTGACAAGGCAGAGCCTGCTTTGGATTCTGTCTCCGTCTCTTTCCGCTCCTTCCCTGCTCATGCTCTCTCTCTCTCTCTCTCTCTCTCAAAAACAAAAACAAAAACAAAAACAAAAAAAAATACTATGTTGATGTACAAGGACTTTCCCAGGGTCATCAGGCTATTCACCTTTTGGTCCTCCGCTTAAGCATTCTTTCCTCCAGAAAGTATTGGCTGACCCCATCGATTAAGTTAGATCCTTTGACACTTTGTTTCCATAGCACCTCGTTCTACCCCTTGAAATGCTTGGTTAATATTGTGTATCAAAATATTGTGTTTCAAAAATCTTCTTTAGGCCCTCGAAGCTTCATCTGCCCAGTTCCAGTTTGTACTATTTCCACTACTGCTGCATGGTTCGGACGCATTTCCCACAGCGCAGCCTTATAGTGCCTTACCTCATGTCTGTTGCCGGCCTCAGGCTCCTCCTTCTGGGCCTCTTTGTTGACATAAAGGACAAGATGTCACCAGAATTGACTTGCGTATGCACAGCTAGGAATGTGCAAGAGTGAACTCCTTTTTGACCAATAAGAGATGGTCCTGCTGAATAAACCTCTCCTTTTCTCATCTTGGCCAGACTGTCCTGAAATGGAACTTAGGCTGTTTACTGGAGGACGATGCCATGATTTCTAGCAGCGAGTTGCACTTAGCAGTGTGGCTGGCTTGACGACACGCTTGCTGTAGCCTCTCCCTTGTGTGCGTTTCTTGGTGCTGCTGTGACACAGTGCGACAGACTGGGTGGGGTTAGACAACAGCACTGTCTCATGATTCTGGCCGCAAGATGTCTGAAATCAAGGTGTTGACAGAACCATGCTCATTCTGAGGGTTCTAAGGTCCATCCTTGTATCTTCTAGCTTCCAGCAGCCCCCTGGCACTCTGTAGCTTGTAGACACTTCACTCCAATCTCATTCTCCATCCCCACGTGCATTCTTCCACCTGTCTGTCTTCTTATAAAGATGCCAGGAGTGTTGGATTAAGGACCCACCCTACTTTAATATAACCTCATATTAACTGATTACATCTGTAACAATCTTATTTCCAAATAAGGTCATGTTCTGAGGTGTGGGGGCGTTAAAATTTCAACGTATCTTTTCAAGTTGCTCACAATTCAACCCATAATATTCATGTCTCCTTACCTAAAACTGGTATCTCACTTCTGTGCCTGGAATAGTAACTTTCTTTCCTCCTTTCTTTCTTTTCTTTTCTTTTCTTTTCTTTCTTTCTTTTCTTTTTGTTTCTCTTTTCTTTCTTTCCTTCTTTTTCCTTTTTTAAATTTTTTTTTAATGTTTATTTATCTTTGAGAGAGATGGAGAGACAGAGAGTGAGCAGGGGAGGAGCAAAGAAAAGGGGGAGCCACAGAATCCGAAGCGGGCCCCAGGCTCTGAGCTGTCAGCACAGAACCCAACACGGGGCTCCAACCCACAAACCATGAGATCATGACCTGAGTAGGACACTTAAGCAACTGAGCCACCCAGGCGCCCCTGGAATGGTAACTTTCTAATGCAGTGGCTGTGTATTGGGTTTTCCCTTGGTCTGTACCTTCAATGAAAAGAACTCATTCAGTGACGTCATATGTTACCGTATTTGATTCTCAAAATCAGGAGTTAGGTAAGTCAGGCCGGTGAGAGAACCCCCACCTGACTGAGGAAACTGAAGCATAGTTAAGAGGTTTGTCCACAGTTTCTCAGGCACCTCTTGGTGGTCCTGTCCCCACAGGGCCTCAGAACTCCATACAATGCCTCCTGGGAAGAGTGCGGTGACCCCCGCTGCACTTACTTCTTCTGCCTCTGCTTTTGTCACCCCCAAATTCTATGGGGAGAAACTGATATGTGATTTTGAGAAAGAGAGCAAAGCAGAGAAGGTGACCTTCCTTTCTTTTCTTTCCCTATCCTTCTATCTCAAGACAAGATTAACCTCTACTGTCTTGGAACCAGTCTTTCCGTGTTGAGTCCATTTTATAAAAGACAAATTCTTCATTGTTTGTTACAGCCTTGGAACAGGCAGTCTACCCACTAAAACACTTACCTATTTTTTTCTCAGCATAGTAAGAGTGACGTTCACCACTGTGACTGAGAGTCCGGCTTTGAACTTAGATAGATCTAGGTTTATACCCTGGTTCTGCAACTTACAACTTACGCAACTCAGGTAAGTTACTTAACTCGAAACTTCGTTAAGTCCCTGTTTACTCATATCTATTACTTACAGCAGTTGTGAGAATAAAATGGAGCATTTTGACACAGTGCCTGGCACATAGTCAATGCTTAATAAATGTAAATTTTTATATGCGCCCACAGGCTTTTTTCAAACTCTGCTTTAAAGCTTTTATTGAACAAAGGAATGGCCCATCTGGAGACGGTGATAACACCCAGTGGGTGCGGCTTTCACAGTACAATCTACCGGGACAACTAGAAAAAGGTGTAGGTGTTTAAAGAAAGCCCAATAGTAGGTATTGCATTGTTGTGGTATGGAGGATGGAATTAGAGCTGCGAATCTAATTGAGCACCTTTATAAGATTAAAATGCTTTCACAAAGTTGGAAAATAAAAAGATACTCAATACTGAATACAGCAGTGTCTAGTGACGTGCTGGGCAGGGCCACCGTGGGAACCTCTTGAAAGCCTTAGGGAAAAAAATGCTACAAAACAAAAGTTGAAGCCCGCTGCATGAACCAAAGAAAACAAAGCACACGGCAGAGGTGGAAAATAAATAGAAGTGCAAAATACTTTAATTCCATACCTTGTGAGAAGTTCATGTGTTATAGTTTTCAGGTGTATAAGAGAACGTTGTTCTTCCTCAAATTTAAATTTCTCCACCGTGGACTTCATGTGGGGGTGATTCACAACATAAAGATACACGGTATGGTCTAAAGTGGGAAAGAGGCATAATTTCCAAGAAGTTTACTTCTGTTGCAACTATTATTAGACTTGGTGTAGAATTTGGTCATGTTCAAGCACTTTTCTTCTACACCTTGCATTTGATCCCCACAGCACACCTGAGAAAACAGGATCAGGAGGCGAATAACTCATGCGCAGTTTCCCCACCGCTGAGTGGCAGAGCCAAGGGCAGACGTTCCTCAGTGGTCTCCTCAGCCTCACCTACATACCTTCTGCCACAGGAAGATACAGAGCTACAATGGTATATAAACAGATGTGGTTTCCCAGGGTGGCCCTTCAACAGGAGAAGCAAGTTTCTTTTCTGTGAGAAATGCGTATATTACAACACACGCTCAAGAAATGTCGGGGCTGAGTAAATATCTTCAAATAAGCAACATGTCCCAGCTAGAGTATAAACTGACACAAGTCATCTACCTAAGTGTGCAATAACAATATTTAATGAGCCTAATGGATGTGGAATGTGAATGTGAATGCAAGAGAAAACAGGCGCATCAATTCTAGGCATCGCCGACCCCGAGAATGTTCACCTGTTTTCATAGTGAAATGTGAACTGCTGTGAACAAGATTGAAGGTGGGAATCTGTTTTCTCAAAATACTGTTTTCTGACCTGAAAGAAGCTCTAGGTAAGAGGAGCTCTGGAATCTGAAAGAGCCTGGTCCCATCCTCTCATTTCAGGCCTTGATCTGCGTTCATCTCCCCTTTTCCTTTCTTGACAGGGCTTCCAACCATGCAGCAGAGCGAGTCCAAGCCCTGAGATGCAGGGCTTATACGCATGGTCCCTGAAACACACAGGTACCTTTCCCCAAATTAAGGAAAGTGGCTCTCTCACAGATGGATCATTCTTTTAGTCTGACGCAGCCCTTTCTGGGGCCCGAGGCTTGGCAAGCAGAGCCCCAATCAGATTTTAGCTCCCACATGGCCCTTCTGCCGGACACTCTTGCCAGACACATTTTATGTGCTGCTCTGGTTTTACGCCTTCTTTAGGCATCTATTGGACCCTTCCTTCCATATAAGAGATGCTTGGTGAGAATTGTTTTGTTTTTGTCTTCTCATTCCATTCCAACTTACGTGTAATGTTTTGCCCTAATTAATTAAATGCATAATTAAAGGAGGTAACAAATAAGATTGCAATCATAATATATTCAACTCCAGAGAGTCTGATTAAATAGATGCTTTGAGAGTGAATCTGTAAACTGGTTCCATCTCAAAAAACAAAAACAAAACAGAACCAAAAAACCAACCCGTACTTCTCACTCCTAAAACAAAACAAAACAAAACAAAACAAAACAAATCCAACACTATGGATTAAAATAGCTCATGCAATAAAATAGCTCCAAGTTGATCTGGTCACTCATTATACTTTCTTCAATGGCAGTGCCTAGATGGAGGTCAAGCAAAAAAAATGGTAACTCAAACAATTTCAATAGATCCCAAAGCCCTAATTTCACTCAAGTAAAAGGCATAGGATTAAGGGTTCCTGGATGGCTTAGTTGGTTGGGCATCCGACTTTGGCTCAGGTCATGATCTTGCAGTTTGTGAGTTCGAGCCCCGTGTCAGGCTCTGCGTTGACAGCCCAGAGCCTGGAGACTGCTTTGGATTCTGTGTCTCCCTCTCTCTCTGCCCCTCCCCGACTCATGCTCTGTCTCTCTCTCCCTCTCTCTCAGAAAACATTAAAACAATATTTTTTAAAGGTATAGGATTAGAAATAAGACCACCTGGGTTCTAGTTCTGGAACTTTCATTTATTAATGACAGATGTGAAGTTATATGTCACTGCATCTCTTCAAATTCCATTACTCCATCTATAAAACCAAGTATTAATATTTGCCCTGTCTCATGGGGTTCATTCATTTATTCATTCATTTTATATATACTCATGGACCACCTACTACGCAACAGCCATTATCCTAGAGTCTGGAAATCCAGCAATAAATAAGTCACACATGCTTTCATGGTGATTGTATTCTAGAGAAGAAATTTGGGAGGAAATAATTAGTAAATACAAGAATACTGGAGAGAGGAGATGCTTTCTTCACAGAGTGGTACCCGCTTGAAGAATTCAAATCACAAGCTTGGATCTAAAGATGTGGAGGAGTTCACTATAGGGCAATAGTGTCAGAGAGAAAGAAGGTTGGCATCATTCAACACTGATAAAAAATTTTAATTGCCATTTTGAGTAAAGATTAAAGTGTTAAAGAAGGAGTACACTTAGAAGAAACATAATAAAGTTTCACCCTGAACAAGTGGGGGAAAGGCTTCCTTGAGAAGGTGACATTTTAACTGAGGCCCGAAAGATAAGAAAGAGGAAGTCAGAAGCGGTGGAAAAACATTCCATGCAGAGGGAACTGCAAATGGAAAGGCCCTGATGTATGGAACATTTATAGGACTAAAGGAAATCCAGTGTGGCTGGTCCAGAGAGTCAAGGGGAAAGTGGTATCGGGTGAGGCTGGAGAGAACACCAGATGCCAGAATATACAGATAGGGTAGTGCCTAGGAGCCCAGACCATTCTGGAGAATTGAGGCTTTTCTTCAGAGTAATGGAAACAATATGGAGAATTTTAAGAAGGGAGGGACATGATCAAATTTACCTAAAAAATTACTCTTGCTTATGAAAATGGGTGGAGGTGGTATAAGAGGGAAAATATAGTCAGGGGCCATTGTAGAATCCACGGAAGACACGTTGGGGGCTTGGACTAGGATGGTGGCAGTGAGGAGGCGAGAGGTGGACAGCTTGGAGGGATATTTGAAGGGTAAATTGGACACAACATTGTAACTAGGTGACTGACTGGGGAAGGAAGAGGAGAAGTATCCAGGTTGGGCCCAATGTTTTATTTTGAGGAATAAGTAAATTATATATGAAAATGCCTTGTAAACTATATGGCCTCATTAGGTACAATTATCTTTTAAAGAAGGGTTTGCTAAGCAAATAAATAGCATATATAGAGTAAGGGGAATATTTAACCCACTTAGCAAAAGAGTAATCGAGCATTTTAAAAGAAATCTGTTTATTTAAAAATGAACAAGTCTACTAGTGCAGACCAAAAGAATTAAACAAAGATCTGTTGGATACTGGATAGAAATAATTATTAATCATTCGTTTTTATTCATTCAAATCACATTCCTGTTTGGGGAGCCTGGGTGGCTCAGCTGGTTAAAGCGTCCAACTTCGGCTCAGGTCATGATCTCAGGGTTTGTGGGTTCGAGCCCCGTGTCGGGCTCTGTGCTGACAGCCAGCTCAGAGCCTGGAGCCTGCTTCAGATTCTGTATCTCCCTCTCTCTCTGACCCTCCCCTGTTCATGCTCGCTCTCTCTCTCTCAGAAATAAATAAAACATTAAAAAAAATTTTTAAAAGAATCACTCCGGCAGATCTATCCTTAACAATACATTGTAACATTGTATATTTGAAGAATTAACACACCATTTCTTGAAGAATTTGGAATCGTAACACTTCATTTGGCCTTCCCTTCATGCAGTTACTATTAGGGAGGTTTCACTGTTTTTATTCTCTACTTGCCCTATGGACCCACAAATACTTAAACATTAAATTAGTCTGGAATTATGAACTATGAACAAGTAATAAATAACATGAGCAACTGTTATTTTAAATAAGCTTTTAATTAATTCTATCTTGTGTATCTCTTGTTTTCCTTCATGTTTTGTTTTCTAATGTCACACAATTATTTTCAAAGGACCTTTAGTTTATATATTAGATGTTTTAGAACAATCTCTAAACTTTGATTTGTAGGTCAAATGAAAAGAGAAGGAGATAAGAGGAAGAAGGAATGGCCACCTTCTATTCTCCCTTCTTTAATGCAGTGTTTAAAAATGTTTGACACATGCTTTTTATCGTGCAAAGATACATCTTCATGGTAAAATAGAATTTTCCCTCCTTTCACATACATGTTGAGTCATTAAGGTTGAGTAGCTTGTGTCTGCCTCATTTCCCCTTATTTTTAATCAGGCTTTACCTTTGTCAATGAAAGTACTAATTCCGTGTGGATTAAATGATGCTTTGTCAAAACCATCACTGATGTTTAGTGCTTGGACCCTTGGGTTTTGCTCATTCAGATCCATCAAGAAAATCTGTCCTGGCTCATCTGGTGCAAAGTTTGGCATGCCTGGATATTTTAATCCCTGGAAAAAATATAAAATAAGTAAGCATATATATACATTTCACAATATTTTCATATGGAAGCGAAAATCTCAAAGCCTAACAAAAATATTCAAAGCTTTAAATTTCCTATAGGTTTCTGGGATTTTTCACTCTAATCGGCTGTTGCCGTTGTCTGATCTGAGAGATTACCAATGTCATCTAGGCCATGGGAATGGGAATGGGAAATGTCAAGAACCCATATTTAATTATGAACAAGAAGAGGGGGGTAAACCATAGAGCATAATGCAATGGGGCACCTGGGTGCCTCAGTCAATCTGGCTTCGGTTCAGGTCATAATCTCATAGTTTGTGAGTCCGAGCCCCATTGGGCTCTGCACTGATACCTCAGAGCCTGGAGCCTGTTTTGGATTCTGGGTCTCCCTTTATCTCTGCCCCTCCCCCAGTCACTCTCTGTCTCTCTCTCAAAAATAAACAAACAAACTCAAAAAGTATAATGCAAGACACTGAGCTGGGTTACTTTGTGTGAGCCCCTTGGCCTGCCTATGCCTCCGGTTCCTCATTTAAAAAAGAAAGCTAAAGTGTCTATTTGCTAAGATTCTTTCCAGTCCTGATAATATGCAACTAGCCTTCCTCAAGGCAGAGAGGAGGGGTGTATGCGCTCATTATATTGCCCCCATCTATTATTATATTATCTAGTGGCAAATAGTAGACTCAGCCAAGAATTAACATAGGGGAACCAGTCTCCTAAGTTGACTATTTCTGACCTATTTTGTGCCTAGAGATATATCTGAAGATTTGGATATGAATCCTTTTCTTCAAATATTGCAAAAAGTTTATTCCACTAACTTGGACAGTGGCTCTTTCTACTGGTAGGACCAATTATGTGTGGTTACCAACCAATACTAGGCATCTTGAACACAATGGGCCTTTGCCACACCCCGGGTCATTGTGTCAAAACTTGGGGCTGGTTTGTGTCACACCAATTATAAAACTCAGCTCCCTCCCTCCCTCCCTGTATCCCTTCCCCATCACTCTGATATATATTAATATCAACATTATATCTTTCCTCATACCCTCATGTCCATTTATAGTCGACTAGTTCCTTCTTATTCTGTGTCCCTGGCCCCTTCCCTCCTTATAAATATACATGTACAACTACACATACTTACTTCTACTTAGTACTTCTTTTTTTTTCTTTTAATGTTTTTTATTTATTTCTAAGAGAGAGAGAGAGAGAGACAGCGTGAGCAGGGGAGGATTAGAGAGAGAGGGAGTCACAGAATGAAACGGGCTCCAGGCTCTGAGCTGGCAGTCAGCACAGAGCCCGACGCAGGGCTCGAACCCACGAACCGCGAGATCGTGACCCAAGCGAAAGTCGGATGCTTAACCGACTAAGCCACCCAGGCGCCCCACTTCTACGTAGTACTTCTATGCCTAAATCTTACCAGAAGCTTGGCTTTCCCCCAGACAACAATGGCACTGCTGACGCCCATCAGAGGGACACTATCCACTCTTTCATTTTTCTTAGGTCACCTCACTTGGAGGAGGGATCCACATGCCCCTCGCCACCAACTTCTTCCAGACCTGGAATCTGTCATCATCATCAATCAACAACAGTCAGTCTTCTAAGGAAGCCACACCCTTTGCTTATTGCTTCCTTATCAGGTTCCTACATGTCCCCCCCCCCCCCCCCCCCCCCCCCCGTCCCGCCCCTTGCCCTGGTCTAGCTTTTATATAGGGCTAGTCTAAATTCTATTCTACTCTGAATTTATTTCATTACCTCTTATTTCTCTGAAGAAAAAAATACTATTCAACATGAATTTTCTCTGACTCCCTCTTTTCTGTCTCAGTATTTCTTCAATTTTATCAATTTTGTTCCATTCTCCCGCTTTTCTTAAGGAGTGGGTATCCCTCTTCTGTTCTTAGGTTTATTAATTTTGTCACCTCTTTATTTGGTTGCTTGTTCTCTGGGACTTGTCTTTAGAAATTACATTCTCTCTCTTGCTTTCACCACTCATTTTTCACCAGTGCCCCCTTCATTTGCCTGAAAAATTGTTCATTTCTCCTTTCTTGAAACAAATCTTCTTCTAATTTTACTGTTCCTTCAGTCACACATTTATCTTGCTTTCCCCGTGTGGTCAAATCTCTTGGAAACACCACTTGATCTTGTTGCCTGCCTTGAGTTGCTCCAACTCTCACCAGTTTGTAGAAATGCCTCTATAAAGTCATGCCAGTGCCCTCCAAGATATCTTCTTTGATAACCCCTCCACCTTTCCTTAGCTCTATATCTATAGCAATTGACACTGTGATGTACCCCTTTATTCCTTGTCAAAAAGCCAAAAGTAGGATGGCCAAATTGAAGTTCTGGTTCTCTTTCTGCCCCTTCCCCTTCTATCCTCATCCATCTTTCTTTTCTTCTTGCTCTATACTCCCTCCTTGTACATCTTGTTCATAAGGTTTCAGATATTTCTTCTATGCCAATTATTTTCAGATCTGCACATTTACCTGGAACCTCTCTCTGGAGTTCTCGTTTGCATTCCCAACTGCTTCCTAAGAGTAGTACAGAATCAAATTATCAGAACAAAAGTCAACTTTCTCCCCTCAAATCCTTCCTCTCATCTGTATCTATTATTCTCAGTGAAGAGCATCACTGTTCTCCCCAATATAAGGCCATGGAATTCTGGCTTCAAGCCTACCCTTTTCCCATAGTCAAACTGCCACCAAGCCCAGTGGCTTAGGTGGTGGTAACAATGGACCAAAAAGCAACAAGAACAACAAAAACTCAGAGACATCTAATTCTTCCCTTTTCACCTGAAGAAAATTAAGCCCAGAGAAGTGAATTCATTAAGTCACTCACATCATTAATTGTGCACATTCTTTCCGACACACCATACAGAAAGGTTTGAAAGTGGAGAACACTGTTGAGGAAGGCAGCTCAAGGAACACCACAACAGGCACCTGGGTCGCTTAGGGACACACAAGGGCACTGTCAGTTTAAAGACTCAGTGTTCTAGAAATGGAAATGATTCAATAAGTAAATAACGGTAGGACATTGTAGAAAAAAAAAAAACTTGACCTAGATTAAGTGTCATGATGACTGAAACACTTCCAATAAGTGGCTTCATATGCACCCTGTTTTCTGTTTGACCAGTTGGGTAGGAATTTGTATCAAGTGAAAGCAAACAATTCTTTCAATGTCATTCACCATTGAAAATAGTGAAAATCCCATGGAGGGGCAGGCCTCTTATTTTTCCCAACAGTCTACATGTGTATGTGAGTTGGCATTGAAATTCTCTACTGCCTTCATTCACCAGCACATGCATTCAGTAATATTCAAGTACCCTCTGCACATCAGGTAGCGTATCGGGTGCTGAGCATACCAACGGATGCTCCGCAAAATCCTGGCCACAAGGAGCTTGAAATCTGGGGAGGCAGCACCAACGACCACATCAGATATAGTGCGGTATGTAAGAGACTAAGCACAAAGAATGTGAGGGAGCATAGAAGAGGCACATCACCCAGGAAGGGTGTTAGGGAAGACTTTTCTGCAGAATTAGAGTGCCGCCAGAGTGAGGCCTGACAGAGAACGCGGAGCTGGCCTGTAATGTGTGAAGAAAGCAGGCAAAGGGAAGTATGCCAATGCCAAGTCTCAAGGTAAGAAAGCAAGTAGATTGCTTGGCACCTCTCTGCAGACTAAAAATAACTATTGCACAGGGGCGCCTGGGTGGCTTAGTCGGTTAAGCGTCCGACTTTCGCTTAGGTCGTGATCTCGCGGTTCGTGGGTTCGAGCCCCGCGTCGGGCTCTGTGCTGACTGCCAGCTCAGAGCCTGGAGCCTGTTTCAGAGTCTGTGTCTCCCTCTCTCTCTGAGCCTCCCCTGCTCACGCTGTCTCTCTCTCTCTCTCTCTCCTAGAAATAAATAAAAATATTTAAAAAATTAAAAAAAAATTTACAAGCACAAACATAGCAAAAATTAGAAGTCCCAGTCCCAAATATAACCATTGTTAACATTTTGCTGACCAACCTATCAGACTTGTATGTATGAATACATTGAAGGATACGTAATGTTCTTCATGATTTTATTTACAAAAATCAGATGTTATGTACAAAGTTACATAAACAGACTAATACAAATACTACTCTGCAGCTAGTGTTTTCCTTATATTGTAATGTATACTGTTCCAAGACAAATATGGATATATGGCATCATTTTACTGGGTAGAGTTTTATGCTGAATTAAAACAACATATTGTAACGAACCACCACACTGATAAGCACAGAAATAATCTAAATATCCGTCATTCCAATGTTGCAAATTATTACCAAAATAACCTATGTATATATACTTTATCAAGTTTTTGCAACTGCCCCTTCAGAGAAATTCCAGGATTGTAGAAAGGGTAGTATTTTACACTTAAAAAATTTTGATTTACAAAGACCTACTGCCCTCCCCAAAAGTTGAATCAAATGATACTCCCAGATCCATATATAAGAATGCCCATCTTCTCATACCCTGGTAATACTGGGTTTTATCAGTCTTTGTCAATATGAAAATATGTTTCCCCCCACCAAAAAGACTTTTTTCTGCCTTCCTTCCTTCAGTCGGCACTTACTTTATTACTAGCAAAGCTAAACATGTTTTACTGCATTTGTATTTCTTCTGGAGCTGTGAGTCTTCTGNCACGCTGTCTCTCTCTCTCTCTCTCTCTCTATCTCTCCTAGAAATAAATAAAAATATTTTAAAAAATTAAAAAAAAAATAAAATCCAATGGAGACCCTGACTATACAAGGCATACTTAAGAAGTTAGAAATTCAGGCCTTTAAGTGTTATTATATGTGTCTCTTTTTAGCCAAAAAGATACAGATTTTAAAATTCATGTTATATGGTAGTATTCTACCAGTCAAAATGGAATATTAGGACATGAAATTCCAGCAATCAGCATTCACACGGAAATGTAGTCAGTCTCCTTTTTCAAAACCTTAGGTCTCATTCCAAATTGCAACTGTTCAACAAACACATGGCAACTTTTGACATCTTCATAACATACATATTTTAATTTAGCATATTTAATTTATCTATCAGTCCTTCACCTAGCTTCCTGAATATCCCAAACCTGTGACGGTAGTATTGGAAATAAAACACAGGATCTTCTCTACTTATCTTTGAAAAGAGTTGGAAGGAATGCAAGGAACTCAAGATGGAAAATGCTCAGGCTTTTGAATTGAGTAACAAGGTTAACATATGCTTCACAAACATTTCCTGGGCTCCAAACACAGGCAGGCATAGCAAGAGGAATACTAGTTAGTACAAAGACGACTACCAGAAGATGAGGTCCAGCAAAATAAGGGAATGATGCACAAATCTGGAGACTAATCCAGGATTGGAATGGAAATCAAAAACATTTACTGAGACCTTACTGACTGTGGAACTGCCTATAAGGACCTGCCCACGTGGGGCATGCAAGCCAGGGCACTCCTGTGGCATACTGATTAGCCTACTGGAATCCGGTTCTGGCTTCTGTGGTTGACCGATTTACCCACAGTTGGGATGAGTGTGTAGGGGTCCATCTGGCAGCTCTAGTCAGCAATATTAATGTACGCTCTATACAGCATGAACGTGAGCATCTGAGGGGCATGGAAGATACTTACGCTGGAGATAAAAGCCAGCCCACTAGGAAGTATATCAATATCTTCAGAGCCATTTTCTGCAAAAGAAGTGGAGGATCACGAAGATGCATGAATGAAGGTTTAAAAGAAAATACCACAGACAAAACTTTCAACTTCTTTTGGAAACTATATTGACTTTTTCAACTATGTACTTGGGAAACTACATTAACTTCCAAGAACCCCGTAGGCATGCTGATCTACAGGGAAACCTGAGTCAGGTTCCCTGAGTACTAAATTGTTTTTTTTATAACTCAATTTTCAGGAGGAAAAAAACAAATAACTATCAAATAAATTCATAATCCTAGATTTATTCTTTGAATAACAACTTCTAGGGTATGCCTTGAGAGATTCAGCCTTGTTCCCCATAGAAGGCTGATCCTACAGACAGAGGGATAACAGTGGAAAGTCCCCATTGTGAAGGTCTCTTAAAGGCCTCTCAGCCAAACATTTCTCTCTTCCAGCTTGTTGAGGCCTAAAAATATATCATTACCCAGTCATATTGGGAAATCACTGAGTAATTGTCATCTTGAATAAAGCAATAGGTCTTAGGAAAGACAAATATAGATAAATTTGAAGAAAACTGTAGTCAGTTCTCTTTCTCATTGAGAGCTGGTCCTGAGCATTTTTCTATGGAAAGAGACATATAATAAGTGACTTATGACCATAAACAGAATAAAAAAGGGGCTCACATGGCTCCTAATAGAGAGATAGACCCACATAGGAGGTAGCCCCAAGCAGGTAGGACTGAGAGTAAAGGCAATGGTTATCTATTGTGGCAAACAGTATTTTACAAGTACAGTGGAAGTAGTATGCATCATAGCCGCATGCCCTTCTTAAAATGGGATGTTCATATTCTTCCATCAGGAGGTAAGGTCTGTATTCTCTCCCCTTGACAAATAAAATGAGGGGGAAATTATGCCACACGACATACAAGGTAAAGTCATAACCATAGCTGTTGCTGGTTTTCTTTCAATCTCTCTCTCTTTCTCTTTCTCCTCTCTTCTCCCTTCCCTTCCCATCTTAACCTTTCCCTTCCCTCCTTTCCCTGTCTCTGTCTCTGTCTCTGTCTCTGTCTCTGTGAGCATGCACCTTGGGGACCTTGAACTTAAAGGCAGGGAGTTTGGGTACTTTGAAGCTACAGAGGAGAGACTATACAGAGACTACACAAAGTAGAGAAGATACTAGAGGAGTGTCAGATAACTTCACTTCCCAGCCTTTGAGTCACTGTAGCTGACGCAAGTAGAACAGCAAAGAGCTGTGTCCACTGAGCCCTGTTAAAACTGCAAATTCATGAGCAAAATAATTGTCATTTAAGTCAGTCACTCAGTTTTAAGGTGGCCTGTTACACAGCTATAGTGATTGGAACATGTGGAGAAATGGTTACATGGGATAATGGGTTGCTAGTGTGTCAAAAGGCAATTGAGGGGAGGGGGAGAGAAAAGTGGGACAAAGCCAAGTAAAATGCATATTTGAATCAACAGAATAATGAGCAATGGGCACTGAAGACTAGAGAACGGAGGGAAATTTCATTATGTGTTCATTTACTGAAACTAATCCCCAACTAGTAACCTGAAAATTAAATTAATCAGAGCTTTCCATTTTCCAAACAGTCCAGTTAATCAGGATTTATGTATCTATGGTATCTTGATGGCCTGGAATATTTAGTGCTATTTCCACATGGAGTAATACAGACATTGGGAGAATCCGGCAAATTGAATAAAGCAATTGGAAAAATCACATTGCATACAGGTTGGTTAAATTTTGAACCAACCTTTTCTTTCTCCGAACTCTCCTTTTCGGTTTCCTTTTGCCTTACTCTCCTTCTCAACTCTGTTCTGAATGTGGATATTCTCCAGGCTGTACCCGCCCTTGGCTGCTTCTCATGGCAGAGTGGCCCTTCTACCTGTGCAATCTACTCCAGCCCCGTGTCTTCAGCTTTCACCCGAGTGCCTTGACTCTCTAATCTTTAAATCAAGCCCAAACCTTTCTACCGATTTTTAGACCTCTACATTCACCTGTATATTGGATATTCCTACCTGGCTTTTTCACTTCTCATATTTAATGTGTCCCAAACTGATCTGGACATATCCCCTTTGAATCTGCTATATTTTCTTTTTATTTTTTTTAATTTTTTTTTTTATATTTTATTTATTTCTGAGAGAGAGAGAGTGTGTGTGTGTGAACAAGCAGGGGAGGGTCAGAGAGAGAGGGAGGCACAGAATCTGAAACAGGCTCCAGGCTCTGAGCTGTCAGCACAGAGCCCAGCGTGGGGCTCGAACCCACGAACTGTGAGATCATGACCTGAGCCAAAGTCAGATGCCTATCCTACTGAGCCATCCAGGCGCCCCTGCTACATTTTCTATATTTTGACTTCAGGGGATGGCATTCCATCCCCGAAGTACCCAAAATCAGAGAACTTGGAGTTGCCTCTGATGCTTTTGTTTCCTTACTCCCCAAATCTAACTGGTCATCATCATTTGAGCTCTAGCAATCACCTCTGAATTTCCACAATAGCTTTCTAATAGGTCAGCTTTGCTTCCCTACTACCATACTCTGCACTGCTGACAGTCATCATCTTAAATTGCAAAGTTGATCTTGTCACTCTCCTGCTAAAAACCCTTCAGAGGTCCCCTATGGTTGGCAACATAAATCTTAAGCCTCTTGGCCTGGATTCCAAATCCTCCACATTCTGGCTCCAGTCCCAGTTGTTATGGGCCCCACTCTGCACTCTCTATACCAGCTGTGCTGTGGTTCTTCTGTTAGGAGTTCCTGAAACGTGTCAGACTCATTCACCTGTATGCCTGAGCACGTACCGCTGCCCCCGCTTGGCAACCCACATCTTTTTCACACCACCTTCACTTCCCTCTGGCTGAGTATCACGGGCTCCAGAGAAGAGCATGGGGACCACCTCTTCAGCCTTTCCAATCTCTCTCAGTTCCAGCGCCCATTTTATGTGCTACTACGGTCACCTGTGACTACCTACACCATGATATCTTCTTCACGCCTAGGCTGTAACCTTCTACTGACTTGTTGATTTCTTACTAGACAGTAAACTTCCTGGGAATAAGGACCAGTTTTCATTGCTACTCTAGCTTTGCACCCAAGATGATACCTGCAGTTTCACTATAAAACCTCTCAATAAAAGCTGGCTGACTGACAAAATAAGAGAAATCATGCTAGTTTCTTGAACTCTGTCTTGTCTTTGGGTTAAACTATTGACAGGTGAGTGTTAATCTCTAAGTACAAGACATCCTCAACTGTGTGTTCTTTGGTTTGGTCCGTTTATCTTCCCAATGCCATTTCACATATCTCCCATGGCAGCACTAATCTACCTCAATAATTTCGGCTACACTAGGAGTGAGTGTCTTCTGGAAGTGTTGTATTTGTCTTTACTTACCTACTTAATCTGGAGCACAGGGATGCTGGTGCTTTCCACTCAGATGTGAAGAAGAATACTGACTGCACAGTATTCCCACCCCTCCTGTCCACTTCCCCCACCTACACTCCACCTGCATGACACCCTAGTGTATCTCAGCAACAGTGATACCTCTGGGAGTCAGAGGCCCCAGGGGACCCTCTCCCGAGTCTTCCCTACATACTCACTAGCCTGTGCACAGCTATCATTAAAACCCTGCTGAGAAGTCTAAAATCAGTCTTATGAGTAGGTGTCTACTGCTTTTGAACCTGTCCGTCCTCTACTTGGCATAACTTTGTCTCTTTGGCCTTTGTTCATATTCTACAGGTGCCCTGAGAAAGTGTCACACACAAACATTATGATCAACTAATATTATCACCATTTCGCCTCTTGGAAAGAAGATTCTGACAGGCAACAATCAAAACATAAGGAACCTACCATGGAGTAGAAACAGATGCTGGAGATATGGGAAGCTGCTGGAGAGGAAAAGGGATAGAGAGAAAGATAGAAAGACACCAAACTCAATGACTGTCTACTTGATAATCCTGCCGAAGGTGGAACCCCAGTAAGCTATCCGAATTTCACGTGCAGCTTTGATTAGATGCCAAAGGCAGCCAAATCACTTCCTGGCTAAAACAATCCTTGACCTTCAAAGCCTTGGAAAAAACATAAACTTAATACAAAAGGAGTTATGAGGTATGGCTTCGAGAAGTTAGAAATACTTCTCTTTTCAACTTTTCTTTGTAGAAAGAATACTGGGAAGGGGGAGAAAATGGAAAGTTTCTTCCATCAATAAAATTAACCACAAAAGCCTAGATCTTGAAGAAAATCTAAGTCAGAATTCTCCTCCAGCTCCGTTTCTGCGTACCAAGCCCTGCCTAAAATCCTTTAGTGGTTTTTCCATTGCTTCATAAAGCTTTTCACTCATCACACGGTTGGGTCTTGTGAAGGTGGTCTCACTAACGATTTTTTATTTAAATATCCAGCCTGCCTTGTTTTGGTCAGCTCTATTTATTAACACTCCACCTTTTTGCATCTCCGATTTTGTTTTCTGCTGCCATCCTAGTCTCTGACACTTCCATAACCAAAGGTGTTGTCAGTAGATAAGAGAGGCCGTGTCACACAACAGACTACAAGGCATAGAAGAAAGCCACACTGGCTCATAATCTAGGCCCGTCACTCGCTCGCTCCAGACCACTGGGCAAGTAACTTCATGCTTCTGTGTGTCAGTTTCCTAATCTGCAAGGACAGAAGGAGCACCCACCTTACAGGTCGGTTGTGAGGATGAGGTAAATGTTTGTAAAGGACTCGGCAGAATGTTTGTAGACACTAGGCCTTTTCAAAAGCAGTGGTATTATTTTTTGATATATATCAATACTGTCCTATTGACAAATTTATTTAGTTCTTCAAATATAAAATGGAAAAATGCCAATAGACATAAGAAGTCCCTTTTTTTTTTTCTTCTGCTCCCAGCCAGTTTCCAACCATTTAAGCCATTCTTTTCAAAATATTTGGATCATCAGAACATTGATCTATGTCTTACTATATTAGTCCTGGTTTTAGCTTCTGAAATCTATTTGCATTATATATCTGAGAGTCAGACTAGACTTCAGAAATCATTTAGTTTAATTATCCCTCTACGTTATTTGGCAGGCTCATATCTTTTGAGAGATAGATGTGTAATAAATATGAATGTTACTCCACAAAACAGTAAACAAATGAGTGAATGTTACATTTCCTTTTTTTTTTTTTTTTTAAATCAAATTAAATCTGATCCTGAACCCACATTCCACTAAACTGAAGGGAAATTCAATCTCAGTCATTACTGGGTCTTCTGCCAGGGTTTTGCAAATGTTGTAAGTGGCCAGTTTTTAAGAAGTAGAATGTTTGGGAAAGTCCATCTGGCCTTTATTGTATACTGGTCACCAGCGAATTACTCACTGCCAAGCCCAGGCTTTCCCTGCCATTTACACAGTTCTGCCACTGCCAAGTCCTGGATGGGCACCTGATCTTTGCTCAGGCTGGGAAACACAGTGCAAAGAATCCAGCCTCCCTTAAGAACACCTTGTCACCATTTCTTTTGGCTTCCTGCACCACTCCCAGAATGCCCTCAGGCAGTGGGGAAAGGATCCCTGTTATTTAAAAAAACCCACATATTCGTATCCTTTGTCCCTCAGAGGCTTGTGAAGGAACTCCAGTTTTTGAGAACAGAAGTCAGGAAAGAATTTGTCTTCAGTTCCTTCTGTTTTCTAGCTGGCAGCACAAACCTCTTCCTCTCCACCCCTCCCCTCCCTCTCATATATAGATAGATATAGATATAGATATAGATATAGATATAGATATAGATATAGATGATATAGATATAGACATAGATAGTCAAAATATATCATATATAAAGAAATACATGTATCAAGAAAAATAAAATACAGACTCATATCAAAATAAAGTATACTGTCATCCTGCCACATACTGATAAATAAGTCAGAGTCCTTGACCCTAGGGAGCTTACAGCCTGCTAGTGAGAGAAAGAGAGAACACTGCTAGCCATAAAACAAAGCACATGGTGGATGTCCCAAGTGAATGAGGGTTTCAGAGCACCGGGGAGAATGTCACAAGTGAATGAGGGTTTCAGAGCACCGGGGAGTTCAGGGGTGGGACAGAAATTTGCAGCCGGTCTCAGCAAGCAAACATGAAGAAATCAGTGGAGAGGATTTCATGAGCAACCATGAGAAAGTGAAAAGGCGTATTCTCTGGACAGTGAACAGAATCTACGTGGAACTGTATTTCTAGTAGCAGCGTCAGGGAGAATGGGAAGCTTGGAGCCCAAATCAGCAGACAAGCACTAAGGAGCAGAAAGTAGTAACCCGCAGTAATGAGTAGTAACCAGCAGGAATCAATAGGTAAGATGCTCTCCGAGTGGGGCCACAGAGGAGGTGGAGCCCAAGGAGTCTCACATGGGACAATGAGCGACAAGGAGAAAACAAATGTCTCCCCTGGGGATGGGGTTACCGAACACAGGAGCAGTCTAAAGGGGAGCTAGCTGTGGCTGAGGGTATGAGGGAGGCAATGACAGAAATGGAAAGTAGTTTCAGACTGGAAAAGGAGGCCTGCCGTTTCAGAGGTCAGGGAGCCACCTATGAGGTTTTCATTAAGTTTTCTGAAGACGCCTGAGTAGGCGGTGAGGTTCTGGAGGGTGAGGGCTCGGTCGTATTTCTCTTGGCGCAGATAAATTTTGAAGCCAGATATATCACCGAGGAGACAGAAGAAGAGAGAAAAGAAGTAAGGTAGGCACCGGGAAAAGAGAGAGGGGAGTGAAATGGCCCAGAAGGGATGAGGGGAACCTTTAGTAAGGGGCAGGACAGCCTTGAAATGGTGGAGATGTGTCAGGAAGAAAAACAGGACTGGGAAAAAGCCACAGATTTTGACATTTAGGGGGACCCTTGGACACCTGGGATGAAGTGGCTCAGGTAAAGTGCATGGGGCTAAGGCCGCGGGAGGGGGATCTAAGGAGTGACAGGGAATTCAATTAGTTGGCAGCCTCAGTCAGGTGGCTAATGACCAAGAACTTGTACTGTCACATACATACCAAGACCCTCAATAAGGTGGCAGTTTGGGAGCTCTACTGGTTCCACTTCTCGAGATGCATTCGTTCTTTGTCTATAGAAGATAAAAACACTAGAGGTCAATGTGCAACATCCAAAGTCAATGTTGAAACATGGCCTTTGATCCCCTTCTTGCTCATTAACTGCGCTTCTCATCATTTATGGGTGATGTAACAAGTAAGTAGGCACCTCCTTTTATTTACATTTATTTACATAACCTGGACATTATGCAAGCAATGTGCATACATCAGCTAATCTCACCGAGTTATTGTTCAAAGACTAAAATGCCATTACACAAGGACAACACTGCGCTGCCCAGTAAGTGATACTATATGAGGAACTGAGCAGTATTATTACTTTAAATGTACAGAATAGTACATTTAAATTTAATTTGCTAAAGCATTGTCTATTATAAATCTGCACTTTGGCTCCCCTTAATTACCTATAGTCTTGTCTTTTGAACCCCCCACCAAAATGCTTTCCCAAAACTCAAGCATCTCCTAATAGCTAAACCCTGTGGCTTTTGTTTTAACTTCATTATTTAAAAAAAAAAAAATTATGCTGACTTATTTTGCAAGTATATGAAACCATCAAACTGACCACAACTTAAACAACTGGCCCAATTGTTTTTCACTATAGTATTCCCGTTTTCACAGCGAACCATTCTTCTGAATACCAGAGATAATCTGAATTTTTTATTGAATGTATCCGAGAAGATTCTACACTTATCTTACTGTCACTTTTTTAAATATGTACCTTAGATCTACCTTATAATTATTTTTTTTTTTATGAGCCTCTCACTCGGGTGCACTGGGAACAAACATAACAACAAACACTCTCAAGCTGAAGTAGAAAAGTATTAACAAAAGGAATCAGGCTTCTCAACAGATTCTATCATGAACCTCTGAGATCAGCTTACACTTGAAGAAATAAAAACAACCCCAAGACAAGTGAAGGCAAGCAGAGGCATAAGACGCCCTCAGAATTGCATATCACACCTACTATTTCTTTCTAGCCCAGTATATTGACTTTTCTTGAGATATTTCCGGCTATCACTACTAGATCTTCCAATTCAAAAGGTCCTAATTCCTGCAAAATGCCAGTTACCACCTGCCGGTTTCAGCTCATTTCCCTGCTGTCTGGCTAGTTTTTAATCTAGGATGAGCTGTGCATCCAGGTACTCATCAATGTTTAGCTGGCCTTGGGCAGTGTCTGCCTGGGCCATAAACATCCAGCTGGTAGCCTGGTCCCCTCCAGGTCCAGCACTTCCAACTGAGTTTGTTTTTTTCAGGAGCAGAATGCTGAGGGCAACCAGGAAAAGGAGGTGGGGCTGGGGGCCATGACTTTCAGAACATAAATGGGGGGTAATTCTGTTCTGCCATTTTAGGAAAGGCAAACAGCTCACTCTCCACATCAGTGCTTCTCAAGGGATAGTTTGCTGGGTGGGCGTGAGGAGTGAAGTTCCAAACCCGTTCATTCTTACTTGCTAGCAAGGCGGCACGGGACAGCCCTTGAAACTTGGAGAAACAGACCCAAGGATACCCCCACCAAGATGCCTACTCACCTAAACGCCACTAATCTCTCCCCGACTAGGGCTAGGAGGGCCCCAAGCAAGGTCAGCACCACCAGCTTCCCCATGGTCTCCGGGACCCGGTGGCGACAAGCGGGCGCAGTGTACTCCCTTGGGGCTGGGCCGGCGGGCTCCATGCTCCGCCCCCCGAGCGGTGCCCGCCCCCCTCTCCCCGGTCCTTCCTGTCAGGTGCGCTACCTGCGCGCTGTGGCCCAGGTCCAAGTCCGGGTCTCGCAGCCCCGCCCCGGCCCGCCGCCGCGGCTTCAAGGTCATCTCCAAGGGCCAGGTCCAAGCAGATTTTACTCGCGGGGATTCCCTCTTGTCTTCAAGGCTCCACGTGCAGGAGGAAGTCGGGGGCGCAGCTTCGGCAAGAATAAACTCTTCCTTGGGACGATAGGGGGAGCTTGCTGCTAAAAGCAGCGGAATTCTACCCCAGCAACTCGAATGGACTGAAGGGGCAGGGGAAGTCAGGGAACTGAGTTCAGAGCCGAAACTTGGCGTTTCTGGGAGTCAAGACCGAAGATGAGACGGAGAATTGATCCCGAGACACTGGACAGAGCGATTCCTCGCAGACGTCGAAGCGATGAGCTTTAACTCACCCTTCTCCGAGGTTTGGGGCACCGGGCCTTATTTCCTGGCCTTTATGCCCTGTCCCAGAATGCTGAATATGGTGGGTGCGCAGTTCCCTTTGTTGACTGGGTGGATTTGTGACTGTCTGTATCCCCATCATTGATGGGATAAAGAACATCAGGACAAGTGAAGGAAAAGAAAGAAATCGGAAACAAGAAGATGAGCAAAGTGGAGGGAAGGGAATAGTTTCTTTGGAAAGTTAGCCTTTCAAAGGACTCCTTGATTCTTCTTTCTTCTGGGTCTTGAGTTCCTGCCAGGTGAGGAATGACTTTTTCCCTCTCATAATGAAGATTAGGTCGGAGAGAGATTAGGAGCTGGCTGGAGCTGGGGAAGACTTTAGGAGTTAGGACAGAGCAAAATAGCATCTTCGAGCATAATGTTTTTATTTACCAAGAGAAAGAAAGAATGGCTCTATTGAGTTCAACTAAGTAAATACTGTTTAGAGAGCAATATTTACCAGACCTGGAGATGTGAAGAAAAGTTGGTCCCTGATTTATGGGACATGTGATTACAATATGAATACATGATTATGGAATGAATAACAATGCTACCAGTTATGCCACACTTCCTATGTGCCTTGCGTTGCATTTTGCGTTTTACCTTTTAATTCTCTGGACAACCTCTGAGGCTGTTAACAACCCGGTTTCTTAGGTGAAAAAACTGGCACAGAATCGCTGTGTAACTTGCCTTACGTCACACAGCTGGTGAGTGGCAGTCAGGCAGTTGGCTCCAGACCTGTCTCCATCACCATGTTGTTCCTCAAGGCTGTGGAAGAAGAGCTGTACTGAAGGAGTACTGTAACATCTAGAGTTGTATTAATAAGATATGTATTTTTAAGATGATTAGTTTTAAGATCCCAAGCCAAGGAAGAATTTAATGGTGTTTTCATAAGGATTTAGGAGGAGAGAGAGGAAGAAAAGAATGAGCCCCAAGCTGAGGGGTGACAGGTGTGACACAGGCATGCATGCAGGGCTTGGGGCTCAAGCTGCCGGGGTTTGGATCCATGATTGCATAAGGTGCCCAACTAACTTTTTTATTCAGCAGATTCCTCTTCTGTAAAAGATTATCTCCCCCCTAGATGGCTTAAAGTCAAATGTCTTGATGAGTGCAAAGTGCTCAACACCACACTCGGTGCATTGTAAGAAGTCAATGCACACTAACCATCAATTAAGTCTGAACCTCCACCTGAGAGTATAGGCTCATTGTGGGGTAGACCCCCATCCCTTTGATCACTGGGTCTTCCAGTGCCAGCCACAGAATGGTGTACTTAATAGATACGCTAGTAAACTGATTAGAGGGGTGGGTACAAGATGTGGACTTGACAGAAGGAAAAATTGGGAACATAAAAAGAAATAGAGTAGATGATGAAGTGGTAATAATTGTCCTATGTGCTAAGCATATTTGCATGCTTTATCACATGACTTCTTATCCTCACTTTACAGATAAGGAAAGTGATACGTAAAGAGGTTGACTTAATAACTTGCTTAGGTAACGTAACTAAGAAGATCCCATTTGGGCTCAGGTCCAGTGACTCTAGAGTACATGTTCCTTGTCACTGTGCTTGATGTCTCCCAGCGTAGCATGAAGGCAGCGAGAAGGAAGGAGGCATATTCTTGAGCAATTTATTGAAAGTCCTGTGTCATATATAATTTGGTTTCAAATTCTTCACTTTAGGCAGAGGTAGGGGTGTGTAGCTGTCTTAGTCCATTTGGGCTGCTATAACAAGAGAAGCATGAGCAAGATGTCTATAAACCGCTGGCCTTTATTTCATATACTTCTGGAGGCTTGGAAGTCCAAGATCAGGGCGCAGGCAAATTCACTGTCAGGTGAGAGCCCACTTCGCAGACTGTGGTCATTTTGCTGTGTCCTAAAATGGTGGAGTGGGAAAGGGAGCTCTGTGGGACCTCTTTTATAAGGGCGCTAGTCCCATTCATGAAGGCTGCACCCTCATAGCCTACTCACCTCCCAAGGTCCCCACTTCCTAATACTATATCCTTGGTGGTTAGGATTTCAACTTTGGAAGTTTGGGGAGACACAACTGTTAAGACCACAGCACTAACTCTAGAACCCTATTGTGTGCCCTATTGACAAGGAAGACTCTGCTTTTTGATCTGAGGGGAGCTGAACCCTCCTTTTGAAACTTTGTCTCAGACTAAACCTTTTGTCACGTGCTTGTTGAAATACAGAAGACAGAGCTGGATCTTCACCGAGTTTATAGAATAACAGATGATAGGACAGTTTTCATGCCTCTTTAGTAGTAGACATTTGTGTGTGACAGATTTGGGTTCGAGCCTTGAGTCTACTGGACTGTACTACGTGACAGTGGACGAGATGGACTATGTGACCAGGAGACGTATGAGTTAAGTCAGGCAAAAGAAGGGGTGGCGAGGCTCCTAGATAGAGGACATGGTATTTGCAAAATACGGGGCAATTAGAACCAGAATGAGGTAAGTCCAGTCGGGATAGAGCAGTGGTTCTCAAAGTGATAAGAATTACCTAGAGGGCTTGTGAAAACACAGATTGCTAAGCTCCAGACCCAGATTTGTTAGATTTGGGGTAGGAGAATTTGTATTTCTAACATGTTTGCATATAATGTTGATGCTACCGGTCTGGGGACCACACTTTGAGGACCATTGGGCTGGAGCATAAGGGACTATGAGAAAGATGGTAAGAATTGAATCCGGCGAGGTTGGCAAGGCCTAGTAGGCCAAGTTAGGAAACTCAAATTATATCCTAGAGGGTAGTGGGAAACACTGGAGTGACATGACGCAGTAGATGTTTTAGAAACATCAATCTGCAATAAGAATGGATTAAGGAGGGGTAAGGAGCTTGCCCCTCTTGGCGGCAGGCAGAGCAGCTGGTGGCCTTGGAGAAGTAATGGGAGAAGCAGTGAGGATGAATTAGTTCCCAATGTCCTTAGATCTGTATGGATTTGAGAAATATTTGGGAAGGGGGTGGGGGGCTGATAGTATTGTCAACTGATTGGATGTGGGCAGAAGGATGGTGAGGGACATGGACGGAATAAGAAAGTGCCTAGGCGTGGAGAATCCAGTGGTGGGGGTTATCCATTTTGGATACAGGGCCCAAAGTGCAGGAGCAATATCAACAGAAAAACATGGAGTCCATTGAAAGCTATGATTTCCATTATGATTTTATAGGAAAGATCTTTTTAGTGTTCTTCAAAGTAGAGCAAAGAAAGTCATGATTATTGTGATCACCGCCTGCAGGTTCTGGATTGCCCAATGTATTGTTTGTTTTTGTTAAAATACATTTGTTTATTATTACAGTAGCTTTTTCTGAAGAAAAAAATTTGAGTCATGTCTCCCCCAATTTAGTATCACAAGTGGAGGGACAAGGGGGTTCTGGAGTTTGAGAAATCATGTACTGCTTTCTGCTCTAAGGAGAAGCATCAGTTTCTCGTGCTTCCAAACCCTATCAAGAATTGCATAACTGATGAGTTAAGTTACAGTTATGAACTGGAAAAAGAATTCCATCTCCTTTATACATGAAGGACTCCTAGGACTTGATTAAAAAAAAGAAATCAACATCCTAAAAGAAAAAAAAAACAAGAAAGTTCACGGAAAAATTCAAATCTGTTTAAATATCTGAAAGCGAGCTTAAACTCACTTGTTACAACAGAATGAAAATTGAAACAGACTGGGTTATCATATTTGCAGACATCTGAAGGTTTGACAGCAAAACCTGTTGGTGATGCTTTGGGGCAAATTCTTATACATTGCAAAATGTTATAATTCTTATAGTGAGTTAGGAATATCTGTCAAACACTCCAATGAAATTACACTTTGACCCAGGTTTTACTCCTTTTGATTCACTTTCAGGAATTTATTCCATAGATATATCTGCACATGTACAAAATAAGGTATTCACACGATTGCTTTTTGCAGCGCTGTTTGTACTAGCAAGTAATTGGACTAGTTAAATAAACAGGGGCATATGGGGCAGCTATAAAAAAGAATTCGCAAAGTTCTCTTTGTAATGATATGAAAACATGTCCAAAAATTATCCTTCGGTAAGGGGAATATGCAGACCCTAGTGTAGTCCGCTACCTTCTGTGAAGTAAAGGGGGAAAATAAGAATATATATTTGTATCAGCTTGTATGTCTATATTGGAAAGAGGGGCATCAGGCTGGTTCAGTCGGTGGAGCGTGCAACTCTCGACCTCATGGTTGTGAGTTCAAGCCCCACGGATGGATGTAAACATCACTTAAAAATAAAATCTTTTTTTAAAAATTGGAAAGATATACATGAGAAACTAATAGATTGGTTCCTGTAAATGAGGCAGATGGGACAAGAAGAGACTTCTCAGTGTGTCCCTTTTTATATCAGCTTGATCTTTGACACGTAAGAAGAAATGTCTAGAGCACAAATGACCCACATTTCAGATGAGATTCATGAACAAACAAGAGGTGGAGGTGATGCTGCTCCTACCGCTTCCCATGTCAATGTGAACATTTGTTCAAA